CACTCGCCATCAGAAAGGTTGCCTACCCCTGCTCTAATCTTATTGGGTGTGCACTCGTTCAAACACACACACAAACACATACACACACTCGAGTCACATGTAATAGTCAATACTTAGATCATCTGTACATTCATTTACAGCTTGGTTGGGTGTAGATGCATTTTCCTTAACAGGCTCTATAGAGAATAGGACCGAAAATTTTTTGGCATCTTGTAGTTTGTTACTCTTCCTTACAAAAGGCAATATAAATTTCTCTTCACGGGCAATCTCAGATTCAACTTCTGTCACATCAGGTAAGAGAACATTAAAACACCCTCTTTATCTAGATGTTTTTCATATTTGTCAGTGTATTTTGCTATTAAATTGATATTTTGATATTTACCTCTTTAGAATAATAAAACATTTTATATTCCATCTTAAGTAGCTTGAACATAAATTACAAATTATTTAGGGTTTAGTAGACAGCTGTCAGTTTTAAGAAGAAAGTGAAAGAATTATTGTGAATGCTTATTTGTTTTTTTCTATTGCTTAGCCTTTTTTAGATGATTACTTAGTTAAACTTTAAAGAAATTCAACAGAAAAAAGGAGTTAAACGGGTTGTAGAGCTTTTCTTTCCTCCTTCCTTTAAAGCTCTGTGAACATTTTAGCTATTAGCTCTAGGCTATAGATACAGAAGTGTTATGCTTTTGGCTCTAAGCTACCAGTAGCAAATTTCTCCTGCATCTATACAGCTGAATAAATGGATTGCATTGAAAAACAATGTAACTGCCAGGTTTTTGAGCATTAAAATTATAGCTCTGGTTCTGCTACATCTGCAGCAAAAAAACTAAACAAAAAACAAAATAATCTATATGTGTTAAATCTAACGCTGCAAATGCAGATTCTGTGGAAAACTGTTTTAAATTAACTCAGTCCCATATAAATCCTGTGACAAGTTGCATGTTGTCTCTGTCTATAGAATCATAAGTTTGTTATTGTACTACACAATTTGTTAAGTTAAGACTTGTAATGAGTAACTGGAAAACTCGTAAAACTCATAAAATTTGGTACTTTATTTTGCACAGCATTTGCATAACCTAACATTTATTTACCTTTTACCAGTTGCTTCCCAATGGAAATTACAGTGTGAGGGTACAAACTAAAAGATTGATGGTAAGTGCATGTTGCTTAGGATAAGTTCAACCATTGGCAACCACTGGCATGGTTGAGCTTATCTCAACCCAATGGTTCTCTCAACCATGAGCTTATCTCAAGAAACTAATGCACAGTTTTGCATTTTCAATTCATAACTGTACCCATGACTAGACAAAAGCATCAGTGAAATTAATCTGATGTAATACTGTGCAAAATAAAAGGCCTGTGTAAGAAAAATGGAATTAGAGGCTGCATGTATGAGCTGTACATAAGGTCAAGGATGCAGCAGTAGAACTTGGGGTGCCTACTTTAAATCTGGCAGAAAATATCTTAATCAGTGGCTTAACTGGAATTTCTGTGGTTATTGGTGTTCATGTATATTAAGAGTATTTGTAAACACGTTTTCATTGAAATAGCCTAAATGTGTTATTTTATTTACCTAAACATACAATCTTACCCCCAGCCGGCATCCCAACATGAACACAAAGTGATATTACCTTTATGAAGTAATAAAGTCAAAGTTATTTACAACTATTTCGTTTTCCCCAAACATGTAATCTGCTAAACAGATTCATAGTTTGGTTTAAAATTGATTCAAGGAGTAAACTCTGGCAACCAAACTCTGGCAACCAAGCTTTAAAATAATTTTGAAAGGTAGGCAAATTTGAAGTGGCAAGAACATTTCAACTCATGTTTGGCTAACATAACCAGGATCTCTGACAGGGAAGAGAGATAGTGTTGACAGAGGTCAAGATGAGGTTATTGTAGATCGAGTCTTGGTGTCACAAAGTAAGCTCAGGAGGAGCACTCGGTCCTCCTGGCAAACACTCAACAAAAAAATATGGGTGGAGAATGGGCGAAAACGTTGTGAACAGATAAGTCCTTTCATCTGCAAGTAACAGGGAAGATAGACTGGAGCTCACAAGTGGCTGAAGGAGTTCACAGTCACCTAGTAAGCTGAGCTCCAGAGAAAATGGTTTCAAGAACTCTGAAGTAATAACTGGAGGGATGACCAAGAATCTGGGTTAAACAAAGAAGAGCACAAATTCAAACAGGTAACAAAGAAGGCCTGGCAATCACAATGTTGGCACAATCTGGCAGAGAACTGTGACTCAGCCCAGCCTTAAAATATTTAACACTTGACTCCTCAAATCAGGACAGATGCCAAAAGGACAGCTCAAGTAGGATGACTCCAACCTGACATTTGTGTTTTAATTTGATCATGTGACAGTGATAATGCACAGATAACACAATTCAGCTATTTACTGTAACCTAATTGCGGTGTTCACCGTATGCACATATTACTAACAAGCTCTGAAAATGTGAAGTATAACTGCATGCTTACAATGCTTCTCATAACTCCAGTTGTACGCATGTTATTGTTCCTGTGTGTGTGTGTGTGTGTGCACCCACTCATGTGACTGTCCTTCACAGTCAGTGGTCAGGCTTCAGTAAGTAGTAAGTAATCACAAATGACATGTATTGATCAGCCTAGAAAACAGCCTAAAGCAATAACTTTAGAAAGACAAAGTTATGTCATCAGTGGAAAGAGACACCCGGTGATAGCTTCACCATGTACTAAAAGCAATGATATGTCTGGGCATCTAGGATTTTTATTTTTTTCATGTTTTTGTATTTTTTGCAATAATAAACTGACAGAACATTGTCAATGCACGTAATGCTGAAATAATGATTAATACTTGTATGGGTTAAAACTTGGTGTTTTTATATATGTAATAGGAAATGTTTTTATTAAACATTGTAATATTGTACATTGTAAATATTTTAATATGTAAGCACTTCATAGAAAACTCGTAATATAAATGGGTACAATTTCATAACATTGCAACCAAAATAGCTCATATAAATAGTTTATAAAGCTGGTAAACCAAATGTTTATTTGCCACTGATATCTGTTGTCCCCCCTTTAGAGGGTAGGTGATTTATGATGATATTGTAAACAACTTGCAATCGAGAATTATTTGCAAAAAGAAATTGGGATCTTTTACAGAGGAAATGATGAAGAGATTCATTCATAAGTTCCTACCGATCATAGCACAGAAACAGCAATAAAGATCAGACAATGGAATCATCTGCTAGATCTCAGTACAGAATTTGTTACTGCCTTTTACAAGATCTTACTGCAGTGACAAGTGTAGTCTGGACTGGTAGGGCTGCAGGTCTGATCCTGTGGTGTCCTCGGGATTCCCATATGCTTGTTTGCCATTCACCTAGGTACCATTTTTGATCCGAGGACACCACAAGGGTTACGCAAGGTTGGCTTTTAACCTGAAGAGCCTTGAATGGTGCGCAAAACTAGCAGCCATCTGGCATTAATGGCCTGATTCTACTGGGAATTTTTCCTTCCTACTGTCGCAAAGTGCTCATAGGGGGTTCACTTGTCATTTCCTCTCTAACGTTTTGCCAACAGCACCTTGAGTCCTGTGTGACCAAGCCCATTACATCTTAAAGACCTCATAGTACCACAGCATCCCAATAGAGCACTTCTCTGTAAGAGTGCAAGATTGTTGTGATTCTTAGACGTTCCAAAAGGACCATGGAAGCAGAACTTACAGGTACCAGGCCCCGTTGATGGAAAAAAAAGACCACATAGGGAATTGCCACCTGGTGCTTTTTCTCGTGCTTCAGTATTCATATTTCCAAGGTAATCTTCTGTCATCTTGTTTCTGTTCCAGGATGGATCACCATGAATGGCAACAGGGAAGAAGTAGGGGTCATAGGCACTATGATGATGATGATGGTGAGTAAGAAAAAACATTAACTGAAAAAAGTTTTGCCATGAGAGAGAAAACTGAGGAAGTGCCCTGAATTTTTTTTTAAACTCTGAGGTCTAAGTCATCTTCAGTGATGATCCCAACCCTTGCCCTGACCTATAAACCTTTGTTTTGGAGAAACACAAAAGGTACATGCTTCCTCGCCCTCTTCCTGCCACTATCCCCTGTTTCTTCTGTCACTCCAGCTACTGCTAAATGTTTCTCCAGTGTCTTCAGAAATTTGTCAAGCTTAGGTGACATCCTTACCTTCTACAATTACATTGAACATTTTATTACTTTCTAACAGATTTTGCTCTATTATCCTTGACAACATAGCTCCACTTAATTAAAAAACCCAGAAAAAACTAATTTAGGTGGTATTCCCAGACTAAATACATCAACTTGTGAACTGTGTTTCTAGGAGGGCAGAGCACAAATTGAAAAACGGATACATTTCATGTATGACATCTGATCTGACTGCATTGATCAGATCCAAATGAAATGTTTCTCTCTCCATCTCAGAGGCCCAGCCATTCTACATTGGTGTTCCAGTTTCCCACCGGCGGAAAAGGCGCAGACATCACTCCTATGCCAGCGATGCCAACCGTGATTCACGACATACACACTATGATCACCATACACAGCAAGAACACTCACATCGAGGATATTATAACAAAGACGAGCACTATAATAATGAAGAGGATGGCGAAGAGTGTCGTGAGCATGCCGATCCTACAGGTTAGAAATCAAAAGTTTTTCATAAAAGTATCCATAAGTGTTAAATAAAAGTGACTGTTTGCCTTTTTTTTCTTGTGATTTTTTTAAGATTGACATACTTAATTTACTCCATCATCCAGTAATTATATAATAATTACAATTATTGTATAACTAATAATAACAGTAATTAAACTGCAACATATAACCACTATGCACAAAATATCAGAAAACAAGTTCATGCAAAAGTATCACTAGGAAAGATACTGAACCCTGAGTTGCTCCACTGCATTCATCAGAGTGTGAGTGTGTGTGACTGTTGGACAGAAATTACTTTGACATAGAAATAAGTGAATGGGTGAAAGAGTTTTGTGTTTCACAGTCAGTTCATCATATACATTCATATATACAGTGGGTAAAACTGAACATGTCACCAATGTGTTACTGACTTAAAATTTTCACCAGATGTCACTAACAACCCATCCAGTACACACATGCAAAGAAATCAAACCACAGATGTCCATACATTTTCTTCCTGTGCCACTTACAGCTGTTTCCTGCACTGTGTAGCTGTGTTATCTGTCATTAGTACTCATAAGTTATGAGTAACTATGATAAATGACACATAGACATGCACATAGAAATGGAGATGCAAAAAGGCTTGGAAAGTCATTACACCAGCTGAACTCTATCAGTAATTAGAAAGCAATCCTACTACTTAATGAATATTAATACCAGCTGGTTCTGTCCCAACTGATTTAAGCAAGATTTCCTCACCCTAGGAAAAGGCAGAGGAGTAAAAAGAATTATTAGAAGAGCTTTCCAAGAGCCAAGGACTACTTGTGGAGAGCTACAAAAAAAGACCTGGAAACAGCAGGTACAATTGTTTCAAAGAAAACAATAAGCAATACACTCAACTGCCATGGTCTGTATGCATGCTCACCATGCAAGACTCCATTCCTGAAGAAAAACTATATTGAAGCATTTAGACAAGCCTGTGAAATACTAGGAAAATCAAACTCTTTGGATGCCAAAATACATACCAAGTTTGAAGGTCAAAACGCACTGAACATCACCCTGGAAACATTATAGTGTTCTCCTGTGAAGTCTGGAGGTTGGAAAATCATGGTAGGTATAGGGGATAACATCTCTTTCATTTGTTAAGTTTTCCTGAAGCATTTGTTAACCACTGTGTTTATTGGATGGTACAACATCATTTTCACAAATGAAATGAGACTGATTGTTTTTCTGCCTATCAAGCTGGATGCTGTAAAGGCTGAAATTCATTAGCTGTGAGCTGATGCTGGGCGATTAACATTAGAAATTATTGTACTTGGCGTTCATACATTCATTATACTGTAGTTTGTGATGTCTTTTCAACCAGTTGAGTAAGTTAGTGTAGCTTTCCGGTGCAGACAACTCTTCAGCATGGATATGATTTATTTTTGGTTATTATTAATGCTAAATAGGAAGTATTTTGAAGTATGGTGATCTGCTTTGAGGGGCAGGCTCTTCACCTTCGGCTATGCCAGACATTGATTTGTCACTAATCCAGACCAGAGATAAAAAGATCAACAATGAAATCACCACCTCTTGATCAATCAGTTCTCCAGAAAATAGACCCATCTTCTGTACTACAAGAACTATGGGGCTACATGGACACTGTGTGACTCTAACTCCCATGTTCAGCATTTCTACTAATTCCTTCTGAACAAATTTTCTTTTGTGTTTAGTTTACGCCAGGATGTGTTACAAAATGTCGCTCTCTGATATTGGTATAATCATGCAGGGGGAGAGCACATCTGCAAAACGCTGCAGCAACATCCGCTCTCTAGGCCTGTGTGAGATTGCCATTACAATGGACGGAGGCAAGAATGGTTTCCTCTGTGGACAGTAGAAGCTGGTTTGAACAGATTTTAGTGTGTGAGACATGAATGAGCTCTGGTCAGTCAGTATCTCTTTCAAGATGCCGACTCGGGAGATTTCCTGAAACAGTGCCTGTGCCACACTCTTTACAGAAATGGTGTGCAGCGGCACTGTTTCGGGATAGCCTTCATAATATTGTTGTGATTTGGCGCTACATAAATAAAACTGAATTGAACTGAATTGATATTGCATTCCA